CAGCTTGAACTTGCATATGAGTAATTGGTGGTCTGTTCCACAATCAGCCCCCGGCCTAGTTTTCACAGCTGATATTGAGCTTCTCCAGCGGTTTCTTCCACAGATGTAATAGATCTGATTCCTATGCATGCCATCAGGGGAAGTCCATGTGTATAACCTGCGTTTGTGTCTTTTATAAAATGTATTTGCAAATAATATGAAATTATGAATTTTAAATGGCACTAACACGTCTGTCTTTGGTATAATGCACTACAAATTTAACAATTAGTTGGCAAAGCTTCAATCTATATTTAAGGCTACAGTCCTTGACCTTAATCAGCAAGCATTTCAAATCCTCCTCAGTTGGCAGCAAGCAAGGTTTTATCATTTGCATAGCATAAGTTGTTGATGAGTCTTCCCCCAATCCTGAGGCCACATTCCTCCTCAAAAAAGCCCAACCTCCCGAATGACTTGTTCTGCATATAGATTGAAAAATTATGGACACAGGACATATCCCTGACAAACTCCCTTCCTAATTTTGAAGTGTGCAGCGTTCCCCTGTTCTGTTCTGAGAAGTACTTCCCGGTCCAAGTATAGGTTTCAGATTATGAAAAACTATACTGTGATAACCTGAAAACCTAGAAGAAATGAATACATTCCTAGAAATTCCCAGCTTACTCAGTTTGATATGGTCAGATATAAACACCTAAATACACTCATCACAAAAGAAGAAATTGAGCAGGTCATAAAAAAAAAAAAGACTTTCCCATAAGAGACCAAATGGGGCCAAACTTGGAAGGCTAGCCTATGGTATAAAGAGGCTGGCAAATACAGCAGAAATGCACAACCAGGAGAGGATAACATTGATGGATGGGATCTTCTAAAGATTAAGTCCCTGTACACATCAAAAGCTTTTCCCTATAGGGTGAAAAGAAAATCAACTAAGAAAACACATTTGGCAATAATATCTCAGACAAGGGTCTCATAGTGAAAATGTACAGAATACTACAGAGCCTCCACAAGAAAAAGAATCATAAAATGTACACAAACTATGGAAAGACATTTCACAGAGGTTGATATTCAGATGGCCAAAAGATACATAAAGAAATGCTCAATATCATTGGCAATAAGAGAGATGCAAATAAAAACTATAATGAGATCCCGTATTACTTCAGTAGCAGTGGCAAAGTGTAATAGTACAGCAAGCAAGAAATTTTGGTGAGGATCTGGAGTGATTGGAGCTCTAATATGCTGTTGATGAAATTGTAAAATGGTGCCACTCTGGAAAGCAGTTTGGAATGTCCTCTAAAAGCCAAACATAGATATTCCATATGGCCTGGCTATGTCACTGCTAGGAATATTTCCCCAAGGAAAAGAGAACTGAGACACAAATGGATATTTGTACACCGATGTTCATAGCAGCATTATTCATGATAGCAAGAACATGGAAAGATTGGAAATGTCAATCAATGAACAACTGAATTGACAAACTATGGTACATTCACACAAAGGAATACTATGCAGCACTCAGGAGTAACACTTTTGAAAAATACTATGTAACATGGGAGAAGCTAGAGAGCATTATGCTGAGTGAACTAACTCTGGCACATTAGAACGAATACTATGTAAGACCATTATTGTAAAAATAGAATGATAACCAGTAAGATATGTATGGATAGACCAAGAGGGATGGGAAGAAGGCAAGGTGTGCCAAGGAAGGGGAGAGAGGAAAATCATGGGGTTGAAGAGTTTGGTGGTGGAGGGAGAAAACGGTGGGGGAATGTGGATATGTTTCATGGATGAAACATAAAAAAACAAAGAACCAATGATACTGAAGGAAGAGGTCCACACTTCTTGTTATATGCTATTGATTGGACTACGACTCGTAGAAATCTATGAACAATGGCTCTGAACCTTGCCCTATTCTGAGCCAACCTCACCATCTCAGACACACCTGACCTCATTGCCACAGTGACTGTGTTAATAGTCTTCCTCTTCTGCAGTGAATCTCTACCTTTCCAAACATGATGTCCTTCTCTAAGGACTGGTTCTTCCTGGCAACATGCCCAAAGTATATGATTCAGAGCTTCAAAATCTTTGCCTCCAAGGGGCACACTGATGTCATCCTCTCCAGGAAAAACTTATTTGTTCTCTTGGAAGTCCATGGCATATTCAGTACTCTGCTCGAGTACCACAACTCAAAGGTATTGATTCTTCTGTAATCCTTAATCACTGTCCAGCTCTCAGATTCATAGCAAGCAATTGAGAAGATCATGGCCTGGATCAAGTGCTCCTTAGTCTCTAAGCTAACATCATCACTTTAGCATATTGGAGAGAGCCTTGACAGCAGATTTACCCAATGAAACATGCCTTTTGATTTTCTGACTGCTGGTACCAAGGATGTTCATTATGGATCCAAGCAAGATGAAATCATTAACAACCTCAATCTTTTCTCCATCTATTACAATACTGTCTTTTGGCCTGGTGGTGAGGATCTTTGTTTTGTTGCTGTTGAGATACCATCCATAGTGAAGGCTTCAAGTCCTCCTCAGTTTCAGTGAGCAAAGTATGTCATCTGCATAATGTAGGTTGTTGATGTGTCTTCCTCCAAACCTGATGCCACATTATTCATAAAGTCCAGCTTCCTGTATTGTTTGTTCTATATATAGATTGAAAAGATATGGAGAAGGATTACATTCCTGACTCTGCTTAATTTTGAACCTTAAAGTGTTCCTTTGCTCTGTTCAGACAACAGCTTCCTGGTCTAGATATAAGTTTCACCTGAGCATAATCAGGTGTTCTGGGATTCTCATCTCAATATTAGTCACAATTTTGTTGTGATTCACGCAGTCAAATGTTTTTGCATAGTTGACAAAACACAAATAGACATCCTTCCGGTACTCTCTACTTTCAGCCATGATCTATATGGCATAAGCAATGAGATCCCTTGTACCATGGCCTCCTTTAAATCCAGCTTGTATTTCTGGCAGTTAATGTACTGTTATAGTCTTTTTTGTGTGTTTGTTGGGTTTTTTTAAACTTTTTAAAAACTTTTAATATTTTGTGTGTGTGTGTTCCATCAAATCTAACTGGTACAGGACATACTAGGCATTGGAGAGCTGAGATGGTTTGGAATGGGTCACTTCGAATCAATCTATCAATTATCTATGATCTCCTTCTCCAGCACAGCATCTGGTGGATTCGAATCGTATACCTCTGGAATTGCAGTGCAGCTTCTTGCCACTAGGCCACCAGAGCTTCCTGTGTTTTGTTTTGTTTTGTTTTTTTAAATCATCAGGAAGATTTTACTTTGATGTGAGATTAGTGATACTGTTCGATAATTTTCACATTCTATAGGAACATCTCCTTTGGGAATCGGAATGACTATGGATCGCCTCCAATCAGTTGGCCAGGTTTCCTAGCACATCCAGGCCTGCATCTGCTTGTTGAAATATCTCAATTCCCTGTGGCCTTTTTTTTTTAATTCGTTCAGAGTATCTTGGACTTTCTCCTTCATCACCATTCATCATATGCTACTTTTTGAAAAGTTTCTGTGTCAGCCAATTCTTTTTGGTACAGTAACTCTGCATAGTCCTTCAATCTTCTTTTGGTGTTTTCTGGATCATTCAATATATTGCCCATAGCACCCTTAACTAGTAGAACTCATGGCTTGAATTTGTTTTTCAGTTCCTACAGCTTTAGAAATGCTGAGTGCTTTCTTCCCTTTTGATTTTCTGACTCTAGCTTTTTGTACATTACATTTTAATACTGTGCTTTGTCTTTGTGAGCTGCCTTTGAAATCTTCTTCTCTTCAACTCTTACTTCCTCCTTCCTTAGTTTTGGTTTCCAGACCTTCTAGTGCAGTAGTCAGAGTCTCCTCCAACATTCATCTTGGTCTTTCTCTGGAATGACCTTTTGACCTTTTTGCTTTCTTCATTAATGATATTCTTGATATCATCCCACAGCTCATCTGGTCTTCGTTTATTAGTGTTTAATGCCTCAAACCTGTTCTTGGGATGGGTTTAAATTCAGGTGGGATAGACTCAAGGTCATATTTTATTTTTTGTGGATTTGTTTTAATTTATTTTCACTTCAATTGGACTTGCACAGGAGTAGGTAATGATCTGCTCACAGTCATCACCTGGCCTGTTGTTTGTTTTTTTTAAACAGCTGATATTAAGTTCTCCATTGATTCTCTCCACATATGTAATCAATCTGATTCCTTTGTAGTCCATCAGGTGAGGTTTTTATAAAAGATATTTGCAATGAATAAATCATTGTGTAAAATTCTATAAATTTTGGTTTTATTTAGTGCAGTATCTGAATTTAGAAGCTGAACACAATCAGTCAAACGAATGTTATTGTCTTGAATGGAATCGAAATTCACTTCATTATCAAATACTCTTAGACCAGTTAGAATGCAATATTCATAAATGGCAGGGTTACATAAAGTAAGGCCCCTTATAGCTCTACTGTATGAGTAATTTTGATATTACAATGAACTGATTCTAAATTCTGGGTCACTACAGACTGAAAATTCAAGAGTTCTGCCCATGCAGTGAAAGATTTTTACAGTAGAATGTAGTAACATTGATGACCCAAACTTTTCCTCATCTACACTCTCTGGATCCTGGAATTGACTGAAGAGATCCCCTAAGAGGCTGCAAATATACTCCTCCTCATCCCTCTCTTCTGAGGTGGGAAAGGACTGGCACCTGGGCTGATCCTCTTTCCTTTCCCCACAGGCTATCTACAAGGCCTGGCTGTGTTCAGAATACTTCAGCGTGACCCAGCAGGAATGCCAGCGCTGGGTGCCTTGCAAGCAATACTGCCTGGAGGTGCAGACCTGGTGCCCCTTTTTACTCCCTGACAATGAGGAAATGGTGTACGGAGGGCTCCCTGGCTTTATATGTACAGGTAAAGGCAGAGCACTGGGAAAGAGGGAAAAAGCTGGGGGTCAGGTCAGGCACTAACCAAGGGAGTAGTAGGGAGGACAATAGGGAAGTTATGTTAGAAGATGGGTAAAAAAAATTTTAAAAAAATTTTTAAAAAAAGAAGACGGTTAAGTGGGAAAGTGTTATAAGATGGTAGCATGGAAAAGGAGGGACAAGTGGAATAGAAGAGAAGCCGAAGTGGCCATCTCTATCCAGAACATGAAAATCTAGTTGTTATCACAGAGGAACTAGTATCCCAGAGACAAGGGTCCAGAAAGCGAAAGTGCTGAATTTCGAGGGGGGTGGAACCTTGGGCAGTCTCCATTTTAAAAAATCTCCTCAGGTAAGGCATAATTTTAAGACGCCCCGAGCACTCCACCAACCTTCCTTATCCATTGGCAGGGTTGCTGGATACTTCGCCAAAGAATCCGGAAACCAAGTGCTGTGACATGCAGCGGGTCTCCTGTGAGTCAGAGAAGAAGGAGTTCAAGGAGTCTGAGGCCCCCCAAACCCACCACCAGCAATTCCACCACTCTTATTTCCACCACTATCACCAACAATACCACCACTACCATTCCCACCATGATCCCCCAGGCCTCATCAACCACAAGCCTTCCCTGCTGCCAGTTTCTGGGGGCTCCCACTTCAACCCTAGCAGGATCCGGCTCTGTGTCCTTGTTCTCATGCTTCTCCACACCATGGTGTCCTTCTCCAGCAACCAAGAAGGTGTGGGACTGAGGCTGGAGGCACTGTCTGCCCTAGAAGAGGGCCTAACACAGGAAGAGTGACAGCAGGGAGGAAGGACAGACCTTCATCATACACAGACATCAGCTCCAGCCTCTCCAGGTGGGAGGGAGGGAGCTCCTCCCATGGGAGATGTAAGACCAAGTGGGGGCCTTGGGGAAATAGGGGACTACACATACCCTCAACGTACCCCTACCCTAAAAGCAACTCCAACAGAATGGGCAGAGAGCTCCAATGAGCTGCAAAACCTGTCTGGGGAAGGGGTGGGGGGAACAAAACCAAGAGCAGTAGGCACCTCTGCCCAGGGCTCTATCTGTGGGGCTTAGCAAAAAGGGGTGAGTAGGGACTGGAAATGTTCATCCCTGCTGAGAACCTTTATCTTGGAGAAGGAGGCTGCTCACCCAGCCTTAGCCCTATATAGAATGTTGGGAACACAAAATGGAGATAATATTTTTCTTCCTTCATATTCATTTTGTTACTAAGATCTTTAATTCCTTTCTGCCCATATCCCTACAGGCATTGGCAGACAGTACAATGTTTCTCTTCCCAGTTCATCACATCTTCTCCCATGTGGCTAGAGGATGAAGTGTGGAGCCCCAATTAAGCTGTGTTTTACCATCCTAGTAAATGCGGGGTAGCAATAAGATGCAGAATGAGTGGAGACTAGGAAGTAGAAGAAAGGAGGAAGATTAAAAGGGAGCTTAGATAGAAGAGATATGGCCAAATGGGCTATTGCCAGCAGGCCTTGGGAAAGCAGTAATCAGTGTCAAGGCAGGCTCAAAGGCAGTTCCCTCACCAGAGAAAAGTGTTTAAGGAGCCCTCTAGAAAAATGGTGTGGAACTAATTTTTTGAGCCTTGAAACAGAAAGGTTATTCTGCTGTTGTCTCAAGGACCATATCTTACAGAAGGTGTACAAACTCCCAAATGTTTCTCCTTCCCTGGAGATCCTGGTCTTAAGGCTAAAAAAAATTCTACTTCTGATCTCCATAGGGAAGAGAACTTAAGCCGAAGTGAGGTCAGATCCCCATATTCTCCAATCTTGTCCTAGCCCAGGTCTCCATGATGGAAAACCTAATGGCATTGCTCCAGAGCTCTCCAAAGTTGAACCACATCCTGTCCTTGTACCCAGCCTACCAAAGAATATTCCACCTTCTATATCCTTGACACCATGGGTTACTATTACAACTGTGTGACAACCAGACTCCTTATGCTGTAGCAGGTCCCCTGCTCCAGCTGCCCCTGCCCAGAGATTGACAAGTGGACTCTAAAGGAAAATGCCTCTTGGTTGGAAGACTTGAATTCTTTAGTCAGGTTAGAATACTGTATAAGAGAAGAGATACTGGATGCACATTCGGGTCATTAGATTTGTATTAGTATACTGGGAGAAGGAGGCCTCATTGCCTGAGACAAAGTCAATACATTACAAACAAGTCACTATCAATTAGAATGTATTGGTTAAGAGCAAACAAGAGAGTCAAAACTGTGTTCCTGGTGGGGTCTTTCAGGACCAGAAAGGGCTGCATCTTTCTAGGATGCTGGGATATGATGACAGTAAGTTAAAAAGGCCTGGAGCTGTAATTAGAGTGAAGAAAGAAAAAAAAAAATAGAGGATGGGGAAAAGACAACTGGAATCAGATGGCTATAGGATGAATGGGGGACAACCCTAGTAAAGGAACCATTTAAAGGCTTCAGTTGGATCTTAAACAGGTTCGGTTAGTCTACAGAGTCCTTCCTTTCCAGTTGTCTTATTTCTTATAGTATGTCCCACCCCTAGCTCACACACTACCCTTTTTTACTTTCAGAACTTGGGGCCTATTCACATACTCTAATCCTTCTTGTTGTGTGCCATAGAATAGAAACTAATTCATAGCTGACCCTCTAGTAGATTTTCAGCGACAGTAAATTACACGAAAAGAGATTGCCCACCTTTCTCCCTAATCTTAGAGCTCTTTGTAGTTATGAAGGGGAAACAGTGTTGGCTCCTTTCCAGAGATGCTTCTACATAAGTGAGAGAAGATGATTAGACTCCAGGGAGACACTAGGTATTCCTTATAACTCCTGCATCCTCTGGAAGGGAAAGAGCCTGCAAAATAAAGGGAGACTTGTATAGTCCCAGGGGATGGACCCTTGAAGTCTCCCATCCTTTCTTCCTCCTCACCAAGTGCCAGGAGACCTCAGCTCATACCAGCCCAGGACCTTGCCCAGTGGCAGGGGAAAGGGGCACCATACTTCACTTCTATGTCATTTGACTAACTGTCTACGCCTAACCCAGATCACCAACTGTCCAGCTGCCCCTTCCCTCTGCTCAAAGCAGCAGAGCAAGGCAGCTTTCTATGCCATTTTCTACACTGTGCTTCACAAGTAGGATTTTCTTGCACTAATTCCTATGACTAAGTCTTCAAGCTAGTTTCCAAATAGTCCACCATCACTCCTTCTGTCCTTACCCTGCTATGATTCATTTGTCTCTGCTCTCCCTCTTACCTTGCCTCTGTGTTTCAATGAGAGTATGTATATGTACTGCTTTCTGTTTTGTTGCATTGTGGGGCAGAGGCCTCTCTGCTCTTCTTTAATCCCATAAAGAAATAAATGGTAAGAATTAATGATAACCATCCCTTTATGACTTGTTTTGTGGAGTAAAACTAATTTCCCTAGGAAACAATCTATGACCTGAGGAGTGGGTAAGACCAGAGTATGCTGATGCTATGCCCTGGCCCTGTTGGTCTAATCTGGGGGCGGGGGTGGCAGAGAGAGAGAGCGATTTCATTAGTAGCCTGTTTAAAAAAGAATTCTAAGTTTAACCATTTGCAAAGATCAGACAGGAAGTGTAAATGAGTGAAGTGTGACAGGCTGGGGGAAAGTGCAAAGACAAACGTAGTGACTGGTGAAAACTAAGCAGCACATGCCCCATTTTAAAGGGTTCAAGCTTAGTGTTGTTATCTTATGGGAATGTGAGCTCACCTTTGTTTAATCTTTTGATACTTCAAAGACAATCATAGAATGTTGAATTTTTATGTGAAACTTGTTTAATTTCTAAATTAATTAAGTGTTCAAGTCTTAAAAAACCCTACATGGCATTGACAAGGGAGAGATCTATATAAAAGGAATGTATGATTAGTTATTGGCATGACAAGAGTCCAGAATAAGAACTGCATAGTAAAGTGGTGTGGAGTAGGGGTGAGAGTCTGTATAACAATGAAAGAACTTTTTTTTTTCCAAAGAAAAAGATGATCTGGAGGGAAGGGGAGGCAGGGAGGGAAATGTGCAACAATGAACAATTGAAAACACAAGTTCTTTATAAACTTTCATTAAAATCTCAATTTTTTAGAAAAGGAGGGGAAACTATGAGAAGTATCCCATCCCAACAACAATAGCAGAGTTCAGTGAAACAGAAAACAGCAAATACTGGTGAGAAAGTGGAGAGCTTGGAACTTTCATATACCAAAACTAGGAAATAGTGCAACCAATCGTGAAAACAGTATGGAAAACACTGGCGAGTGCTGGTGATGAGAGAAAGTTAGTTCCTGATCCTTCTATTGTTGTTTTTGTTGATTGCCTTCGAGTTGAGCATGACTCATAGTGAACCCTATGAACAAAAGGCCTGAAGCTTCTTTACAACTATTGACATTTATCAAAATTCATAGAGTTTCTGGGGGCAAGTTGTATAGTAAGTGGATGCCACTCCTGCTATTATGTACTGTCAATTCTAAACCTCAGAGCTGACCTTCAAACTGGTTTTCAAAGATTATAAATCACATGGAAGATTGTTCTTCTCTCTCCCACAGAGCAGATAGATGGTGGATCCGAGCCACATGCCTTTGGGTTGGCAGTGAAACTACTTACCACTAGGCCACCAGGGCTGTCTGGAAGGTATGAGAAACCTTCAAAAGTTGAAAGTAGAAATACCACTTGGTCCATCAATCTCTCTGGTAGGTATATATCCTAAGTAAATAAGAATTGTTGCACACTCATGTTAGTTAGAGTTCATTTTTTAAAAAGAGTTGGAAATAATGTAAGTTTCCATCAATGAATGAAAGAATAAACCTATTATCATACACAATGAAATAGTAGGCAACATAAAGAATAACAAAAAAATCATGAAACACTGTATAACATGAATGAATCTGGAATACATTATGCTGAGTGAAAGAAGTCAGTCACAACAGAACAAATATTCTATCAGTACACTATTACAAAGAGCTAAGGAAAACTTTACATACAGAAATAAACATCCTTTGATGAAAGGAGAGGAACGGGGGGGGGCATCAGTAACTAAATAATGTTGTTGTTACATACTGTTGAATTGGATCCAACTCATAACTGACCTCATAGTGGGTTTTCAGAAGCAGTGAATCATATAGGAGATTGCCCATATTTCTCCTGCAGAACAGCTGGTGGTTTAGAACCACATGCCTCTGGGTTGGCAGTGCATGTCCTCACCAATAAATGACTAGAGCCCCCTAACTAGATAATAAATACTTATTAAGTTGTTTAAAGGGAAATATGTAAATATTAAGTATGTAAGAATATAACCCATTTAATATCACTAAATAAAGAGAAGACACAGAAAAGTACACAGAGAGTCAACAAAGGTAAACACTATTACACAATCCTACATTCTCAACAATACTAAGCATTCATCAATAATCTGATATATAGGCAGATAAGAAAGATGTAACAGATGTGAGCAGGTGAAAGGGACTCCACTCATGACCATACATAGGTTTCACATATGATATTTCTACATTCATGTCAGAATGTGCTAAACATATATCCACATATATAGTAGCACCACCTGGGTAAGTTATATAAACTTCCATGACTAAACTCCATGAAGGAATTATTCTCTAGTCATAGGGCCTCAGGACCATAGTCTTTGGGAACATCAAGGTCAATTGGCATAATAGAGTTCACAAAGACAGTGCTGTAGCATTTGAGGTCTTAAAAGCTTGCAAGGAACTGATTAAGATTTCTTACAACTATTCTCTCCCTGTTTGGAACAAGTAATAAGGGATAAAACCAAAGATGTATAGAACAATTAGTCCAA